GCCCGTCCGTGGGGACAGCACGAGGAGGTCCTGCTCCCGCGCCCCGGGCAACAGCCCAGCGCTTGCCCTTGGCCCTCCCGGAAGCCGCCTGGCACTCTGGGGGGCCGCATGGCCGAGGCCCAGGCAGTGCCCTGAGTGTTGCCGCCCGAGCACGGCTGCCTGCGCCTGCACAGGGGAAGCGCTGCTGCGCTCGGCAGGATGGCCCAGACACACATCTTGCCTCGGAGGGCCCACAGGCAGCACAGGTGCCGGGGCGGGCCCAAGCCGTGGACCCGATCCTCCGAAAAGGGGGCGCGCAGCCCCTGCCAGGCCCACTACTGGCCCCCACCTCCTCCAGCTTCAGGGTCATCCCTAACCATAACCCTGCACTCCGGCATCAGCAAGATGCAATCCGGACCGTCCTCTTTGGGAAAGCCTTTGAGGCACTACTAGAGGGATCCCACTACCCCCTCAGCCTGCTCTTCTCAAGGCTGAACATGCCCAGTTCCCACTCTCTCCTCACAGGGCAGCGTTTCCAAACCCTGGATCCTTTTTGTCGCCCTCCTCTGGACCCTTTCTAACTGTTCTGCATCTTTCTGAAATCTCGGTGCCCAGAACTGACACAGGACTCCAGGTGAGGTCTGGCTAGTGAGGAGGGGAAACAGAGCAAATCAGGAGGGGCCTCAAGGAAGACTTTTTCAAAATTGCCCCCTTTTGAATGGAACTTCTGCCCTGTATTAGGTTTAGGGGTGTGCACCAAGGTAGGGTCAGGTTGAGTTTGAGAAACAAGGCGTCCTGGAACAATTTCGATGTTTGGAATGTGTTTCGAAGGGGTAGAAAAGATGAGCTGTGCAGAAAAATATGCTCAAGTAAGACTTTCTCAAAATCACCCCCCTTCAATGGAACTTTAGCCCTGTATTAGGGTTAGTTGTGTGCACCAGGGTAGGGTTTGGGTTAGGAAAACGAGGTGTCCTGGCCTGAGTTTGATGTTTGGAATGTGTTTAGAGTGGGGAGAAATGATGAGCTGGGCAGAGGAAGCTACTCCAGGAAGGCTTTTTCAAAATCTCCCCCATTTGATTGGAATTTTTGCCCTGTATTAGGGTTAGGGGTGTGCACCGGGGTAGGGTTAGGGTTAGAAAAAGGAGGTGTCCCGGCATGATTTCGATGGTTGGAATGTGTTTGGAAGGGGCAGAAATGATGAGCTGGGCAGAAAAAGCGATTCAAGGCAGGCCTTTTCAAAATCTCCCCCTTTTGTGTGGATTTTTGTCCTGTTATGGTTAGGGCTGTGCTCCATGCTAGAAACATTGAATCAGAGTGAATCAGAAGGAGCCTTCTGGGCCATCTAGCCTGACCCCCTGCTCCCTCCAGTTCTGTTCACACCTTGCCCACCATGTGGACGTCCAGCCTGTCCTTGAACACTCGCACCAATGGGGCCTCAACCACCCATGTGGAAGCCCATTTCCCACCCTCGGGGTCCTGACTGTCAGGAAGTGCTTCCCGGCATCCAAACGAAACCTTGGCTCCCTGAGCTTGGCTCCGTTGGAGCAGGTCCTGCCTTCCTCTGCAGGGGAGAACAGGGCTCTCCCCACCTCCGTGTGACACCCCCTCACATACCTGCAGGTCGCCAACAGACCCCCTCCGAGTCTCCTCTTCTCCAGGCTGAAACTGGACTGCTGCTGCTGCTTCTCGTGATTGCTGCTACTCGCTGCTTTGTGCTGCCTGGCTTGCCCCCCCGCCCCAGGCACCCTCTTATTTACAGCCATCCCTGGAGAAGGAGGACCGCCAACAAAATGCTGCCCCCCAATACCGCCAGAGCCTCGCAAGTCTTCCTGGGGGAAGGGTCCTTTGCTGCGCACCCGGCACCAAGCATGGGGAGGCTTCCATCCGAAGCAGAGCTGGTGGGGGGCGGGCAAGGGGCAGTTTGCTCCCGGCTCCTGAAGAGACTGCACGTTTGTGCTGGCATCTCCCCCCACCCTGTTCCCCCCACATCACTCAGCAGGGACACCGGAGCACTCCCGGGTCCTGGAGGGGGGGCGGCCACAGCCTCTGGGCAGCCCAGGTGGCGTGGCTGGTGCCAGGGCTGCCATCTCCTCCCGTCCGGCTGCTTTTCTCCACTGAACTTGTTGCAGGCGAGCGGCCAGCCGCCCTGCTGCCTGACTGGGCTGACTCAGGAGTGGGGCTGCTTCTAAGCGGCTGCTGCTGGTTCCTGCTTCAGGGCTGTTCATTTTGCCTTATTCTGCTGACAGTTGCAAGCTGTCACTGGGTTTTAGAAATACAGGGTTGATCCAGCTGTCCCTCCCCACAAAATTGGGATACGTGTGGCGAAAAGCAGCCCGGAGCCGGCTCAGGCAGCTTTCACGCGGCTTCGCCTATCGGCCTCTTTCTGCGGCCTGCCCTCCCCTCTAAGCCAGGGGTGGCACCATGCCCCAGGCACAGCTGAGCTGGCCAGCGGAGCCGGGGGCTTGTGCCAGGTGCAAAGCCTTCCCGGCTGCTGGAAAAGCAGCTCTCCGGGGCCAGGCTGAGCTACCCGCAGGAGCCTGGCCCAGAAAAGCCACGAGCTGCAAAAGGCATTTCCAGGTGTCTTAAGAACAGCCATGCTGGATCTGTCCCTCTAGTCCAGCACTCCACACACACGGTCGCAAACCGCTGCCCCCAGGGTCCCTCAAGCAGGAGGGTGCAAGACCCCCACCTGCCCAAGCTGCTCAGCCACTGGTGGGTGCAGGCAGGCCAGCTCTGGGAAAGGGCGCAGCACGTGGCCACCGAGGCTAGTAGCCGCTGGGAGCCTCCCTCCTCCTTCTCCATGAATCTGCCCAGCACCCTTTTAAGGCCACCCAGACTGGTGGCCGGCACCACTTCCCATGGCAGCGAATTCCACGGCTGAACTCCTCGCTGCGGGAGGAAGCCCTTCCCTTGCTCTGCTCTCAGTGCCCCCCAGTCAGCTTCACGCTCCCGTTGCCAAGACCCCTGCGCTTCGCCGCCTTTTGAAAACGCCCTTCCTGCTTTGGGCCACGACAGCTCTGCCCCAAAGCTGCTCTGGCAATGGCATGTCCGCCTCGAGGCTGGCGGCCCTGCGGGGTCCCTTGGGGACCCGGGGAAGGGGCCTCTTCCCCACTCCTGGGCTGGCCGGGTTTGTTGCTGGCTCGCTTGTCTGGTGGGGGGCCGCTCCCCCTCCCTGGATTGCAAGGCCACCGGTGCGGCATGTGGGCACAGGGGGAGGGCAGGCATGTGGATGGAGACAATCCCAGAGAAATGGGCCCACGAGTGCTTCCGGAACCCAGGACCCACGCGAGCTGGATCACTGTCTACCATCCTCCAGACGAGGCGCTTGCCCTTGCGGGGCTCTGGCCTGTGGAGCAGGAGTCCAGAGCGCAGCAGCCCCTGGGGGTCCCTTGCTGCAGGCTGGCCGAGCGGGTGGCTCGAGCGCGGCTCTGTGTCCGCAGCCACTTTGATCAGGTGCAAAGAGCAGGATCGCGCCCTCCCTGCCTCCTGGCTGCCTCCACAACATTCCTGGCCTTGCTGCCAGCGGGGGGGGGGGGTCGGTAGTGCACCCCTGGTGGGGCCCTCCGCCCGCCCTGGAGCAGGGCCGCTTCTGTGCTTGCTTTCCAGCTTCAGAGCCAGGCGGCTGGCTGGGGGCAGCTCCTGCCTGCGGGGTGTGCAGGTAGAGCCCTGGAAAGGGAGAACAGCCTTGCCGGAAGGGCCCTGGGTCCAACCGCCTGCTGCTGCAGGACCCCCAGTCACACCCGCCCCCCGAGGGCGGCCAGATGGCACGCCACGCAGTTTGCTCTTGGATCGCTGCCAATGCCCTTTCCAGGCCTCGGCCCTCCTGACAGGCACGGCGGATGATCCCGGAGCAGCTCTGTGCCGGAGTGGCTGCGAGGGATGTGGGGAGGCGAGGGGGCCAGGGGTGTCATGGACCACCAACTGCGGCAGGGGCTGCCCACTTGGACAGGTCCAGACAGGGCCGGGTGCCTCCCGCTCACTCTCCTGGGAAAGCTGCAGGGGCCACGGGGCGGGCCTTTTCTCGTCCCCCAAGCTGCAGCCCCCGGGGAGGAGCCTGCAGGCACGCAGGCGCGCTGGGTGGGTCGCTCTGCGCACCTTGGCAGCTCGAGGGGAAGCTGCGGCTGCGCTCGACAAGTCCGTGGAACCCAGGCACGGTCGACTGGGTCAGTCTCCAAATGCAACCATCCCTCCCAGAAGGGATCCGCTGGGTGGGGGCACGGAGAGCACCCCCACAAAGCATCACTATGGCCGGAGAGCAGGAAGGGGACGTGTGCCAGACGGGCAGCCCTGGCGGGGGGAGAACCGCCTGGAGATGCTCTGTAAGCAGTCCTGGGTGGCGCCTTCCGCATTTCTCCATCGGGGCCCCTCTTGAGTACAACCGGCTTGAGCAAAGCGGAGCCGCCACAGAAGCATGCAGGTCAGAAGCCGCAGGGCCCCCGAGCAGACACGCCGGAATCGCGCCCGTCCCGATTTGTGGGAACCGCACAGCCTCCTGTCCCCATGCCCGGCCTGCCACTGGAATGCCCGAACCCCACCCCCACCCCCAGCCCCCATGGCGAATGGGGGCTCGGCCCCGGGCTTCTCTGGCCCCACGGCCAGGACCTGGGCACAGGAGGCGCCCGGGACGCTTCCTCTGCAGGAACAAAGGCCACGGGGCCCCGTGGCCGGGCGAGTCGCGCAGGCGGGGCACCCTCGTTGGCGGGGCCCGTGCTGGGGCTCATGGGCTGCGGAGGAAGGCAAGGGGGGCAGGGCGGAGGCCGAGGCAGGCAGGAGGACAGGAGCACCCCCGGGGCAGGGCCTCCCCGGCGGCACTGCGGCGCCTGCCCTCGGAACTGCCGGTGCCCAGGCAGCCTCCTCGAGAGCCAGCACGCGTTGGCCGCCGTGGGGGCTGCTGTGCGGGCGGAGCGGCCCTCGCCGGGGGATCGGGGCCCTCCCCAGCCTGCCCGCCTGCCTCTCGTGCAGAGGGACTCAGTCGCGGGGGCACGCGCTCCCCCCCCCCGCCGGAAGAGACGTGGCTTGGGCCAGCTGCTCACTACGTTTATTGGCTTCCAAAGCTTTGCACAGAGCGGCGCTCTCCCCCTGCAGCCCGCCTGGAAGAGGGCCGGGCCGGGCCCGGTGGGGGGCGGGGGGTCCTGCCGCCCCAGCTGCTTGCTCCTGCGAGGCGAACCAGGCCGCCGGCCCCGCTGCCGGAGCGGCCCCTGGGCGGTCAGCCGGGCGGGCGGCGTTCGGGATGGTGCGAACGGGCCGGGCGAGCGAGGTGCGGGGCCGGGCGCTGGCTGGGCGGGCGCTCAGCGGCTGTAGCCAAATTCGTCCGCGTCGTCCGCCCGGAAGTCTCCGTAACGCCACAAGTTCAACTGCGGGAGGGGACAGGACAGGGGGCGGTGTGAGCAGGTGGCGGGGCCCTCAGGCCCGTCCCCCCACCTTTCCAGGCCGGAGCCCGCCCCCC